AATCAGAACACTCCAGGTCTCAGCAGTTCACACCACCAGATTAATATGACACAGGTACCTGTGATCCAATCAGAACTCTCCATGCCCCACAGTAGTGCACACCTCCAGATTAATATGAAACAGGTACCAGTGGTCCAATCAGGACACTCCAGGCCAGAGCAGTTTACACCACCAGATTAATACGCAGTGGTCCAATCACACCCCAGAAGTGCACACCACCAGATTAATACGACACAGGTACTGGTGGTCCAATCAGAACACTCCAGGCCCCAGAAGTGCACACCACCAGATTAATACGACACAGGTACTGGTGGTCCAATCAGAACACAGAAGAAGTGCACACCACCAGATTAATACGACACAGGTACTGGTGGTCCAATCAGAACACTCCAGGCCCCAGAAGTGCACACCACCAGATTAATACGACACAGGTACTGGTGGTCCAATCAGAAACTCACGGGTACTGGTGGTCCAATCAGAACACAGGTCTCAGCAGTGCACACCACCAGATTAATACACACAGGTACTGTGATCCAATCAGAACAATCAGTGAACACTCCAGGTACCCCAATCAGGACACTCCAGGCCAGAGCAGTTTACACCACCAGATTAATACTGGTACTGGTGGTCCAATCAGAACACTCCAGGCCCCAGAAGTGCACACCACCAGATTAATATGACACTGTCAGGAACACACGCCCACGGCTCTGAGGAGCAATCTAGCACACATGGCACACCCTTCTAGGATTCCTCCAGCTATCCTACAAGCTAGAACCCCGGTGTTAATCACTCTTCCACTGTCCACACACCCCCCACACCAGACACACCACACACAGTAGCTTGCCACCACCCAACAGTTTGTCCACAGACTGGTCTGCTGGGCCACCACACACACACAGATCTCCGTTTAGCAGATCTGCTACTTTACAATCTGCATGCAATCTGCCAACACACAGTACAATTGCATACAGATTTTAATGAACTTAGACCGAGCACATAGACACTACAATACAACAATCTCTCCGGAGATATGAGCCCGAGCTTAGTGCACAGAAGTCACTTATTAATTTTAGATTTATTATCCTGGAAGTGAGCGCGTGCATAAAATATATACAAAGAAAAGGAATTACAAAAAAGACAAGAAGACCCACAGAGTTGGCTATTCACTAGGAAAATAAAAGGGATAAAAACAGAAATAAACTTTATCGAGGTTTATCCTGTGACAGAAGCATGTCAGAATTGTCTGCAATTCCCCAATTGTACCGGTTCCATAGGAATCACCCCGTCCATATCTCAGGCTCCTCAATTTATTGAAATTTGAATGTGGGTGGGACTTTAGCCCTTGTCCAATCAACCCTGGGGGATGTTTCTGTATCAGCCTACAGGGCGTTCTGTGTTCTGAAGTGACCTGGATCCAATGGGCCAGGAATGACTCTGATCGTTGGGTCAGAGATAGGATTTTTGACACCAGCGCATCATCAGTCCGATCGTGACAGTACCAATCACTGTTCAGCTGTCACAATCAGGTGCCATTTTTGTGTGTTTCCCCGGGATTCTACAGAGGATACATATTCAGTTTTATATGGACATGGAGCCTAAAATGTGTCCAATCAGAAGTATTTTCATCTCTCTGCAACTATATTTTAGCTTTTATGAGAGATGAAATAGATTCCTCTGATCTGTTGGTATAAATCAGAGCTGGCAGACATTTTGGAGCCTTCTCCTGATCAGCCTACAGCTCTTGTTTCAGGTTCAGGAAGGTGAGAAATCCATGTCTACATGGATGAGTTCTATTATTGGCATCTCGTGTCTCTCCTGGCCTAGAAGCTGCTCTGTCCTTTCACATGCTAATTGGTGACCATATGTCTCTGACTGATTACTGAATACTGTATCTCTAATAACACGGAATGAAACTAGATCTACAATCACATCCTTCTACAGATCACGTCACATCTCAGCTACTGGCAGAACTACCCGACTCCCACATTTATGTTACAAATATATTTCTATATCATTATCATATCTCCTCTGAAGGATCTCGTCTCCAAGGAGAATACATTTCATGTTTGTAGTCATTCCTCATAACTGAGGTCTTCCAATCAGTCAGAAATTCTCCAATCAGTCACAAATGTAAGGGACCACTGCTCTGACCACTGATAGAAGGGAATTCTCCCATTGGTCCCTAATGTAAAGAACCAATAATTTAACCTCTGATGTAAGGGGGATCCTTCTCCCATTGGTCACCAAAGTAAGGGACCACTACACTGACCACTGATATATAAGGGATCCTTCTCCCATCGGTCACCAAAGGGACCACTACACTGACCACTGATATAAGAGGGTCCTTCTCCCATTGGTCACCAAAGTAAGGGACCACTACACTGACCACTGACCACTATAATGGGGTCCTTCTCCCATCGGTCACCAAAGTAAGGGACCACTACACTGACACTGATATAAAAGGGGTCCTTCTCCCATTGGTCACCAAAGTAAGGGACCACTACACTGACCACTGATATAAGGGGTCCTTCTCCCATTGGTCACCAATGTAGGGGACCACTACACTGACCACTGATATAAGGGGTCCTTCTCCCATTGGTCACCAATGTAGGGGACCATTGCACTGACCACTGATATAAGGGGTCCTTCTCCCATTGGTCACCAATGTAAGGGACCACTGATGCTGACAACTGATGTAAGGGAATCCTTTTCCCATTGGTCACCAATGTAAGGGACCACTATGCTGACCACTGATGTAAGGGGGTCCTTTTCCCATTGGTCACCAATGTAAGGGACCACTACACTGACCACCCATGATATAAGGGGTACACTTGATATAAGGGGTCCTTCCCCATTGGTCACCAATGTAAGGGACCACTACACTGACCACTGATATAAAAGGGTCCTTCTCCCATTGGTCACCTTCTCCCATTGGTCACCAATGTAAGGGACCACTACACTGACCACTGACATAAGGGGTCCTTCTCCCATTGGTCACACCAATGTAAGGGACCATTGGGACACTGACCACTGATATAAGGGGGGTCCTTCTCCCATTGGTCACCAATGTAAGGGACCACTACACTGACCACTGATATAAGGGGGTCCTTCTCCCATTGGTCACCAATGTAAGGGACCACTACACTGACCACTGATATAAGGGGTCCTTCTCCCATTGGTCACAATGAATGTAAGGGACCACTACACTGACCACTGATATAAGGGGGTCCTTCTCCCATTGGTCACCAATGTAAGGGACAAATACAATGACCACTTGGGATGATCTCTGGGTTTAGTTGTCGGAGAGTAGGGATGAGACGACAGTACAAACCAAACTTTGCCTGTTCCGGTCCCGTTTTGCAGGAGCCGATCATCACATATAGAAGAGACATTTCTACCACTTCTATATATAACAGCTTCCCGCTGTCACTGGTGCCTGAGGAAGACATGGATGGGTACAGCGGCCACACCCCCAGGAATCAGTGATGTCATTGGGAATCCCTGCCATGTAAGGAAGGGGGCGGGGATAGCAGTGACATCACTGACCAAATATGGTCACTGGTCACATTTGGGTAATAAGGTCCCACCATCCCTGTCCCTTCACTTATGTAGATGATGACAGTTTAGGGAGCTGTCATTGGGCTGGTGCTATTGTCGGGTACTATATACCCCATACTCATTCACATGGGGGACGGTATATGGGGGCCCCTTGTTATTAAAGGGGGTTTCCAGAATCCAATATGACCCCCACCCACAGATCCCCACAGCCACCAGACAAGGTGCTATGCCTGGGGGAATCCCCCCTGGTAAGGTGACCCCCATGTTGTGGACATGTGGCCTGGTATGGATCAGGAGGGGGGGCACACTACAGCCCCCCTCTGCACTCTGTATGGTGGGCTGTATATGATATACTGCTGACCCCCCCCCGCACACTCTGCGCCGTTATTGAAGGGTGTGAGGTGTCACCGAGGAGCAATGTTCTATATTGAAGTTTGCCGTCATTGCACCGACACACACAATAGTTTTTGTTCAATAAATGTTTTATTATAATTTTACATTTAACAAGATTGAAGCATAAAAAAATAGGAAATAGTAAAGGAAGGAATCCGATTGGTCAGGAAGATCCCTTGTCTGGAATGTGGGGGCGGAGTCATTATTATTGGTGTACAATACAATACACAACGTGTTCCATTATTATAACAAAGTATTGTAGAAAAGATCCCAACATAGAAAATGGGGGAAAGGAGGAAATAAAGGCGGATATGAAGGGGAATCTGTGTACGGGGAACACCTTAACAATCACCACCATTTTATTCTCCAGGGCCTCTGATGTCACAGAATAGATGTTTGGGGGTTTATCTCATCTTCAGACCAAAATCTGCATTTTCCCATGTGTGCAAAATCATGCAGAAACAGCTCTGGCAGTGAGAGGGTTAATGTGGGCTAGATGGGATCCCTCTGCTGGGGTGACATTAGAGCTCCCCCTAGCTGCAGCCTGGTAATAACATTGCTGGGAGGTCTATTCATTTCTCTGCTCCATACTTCCCGTCTTTATAGAAACGTCTCCTGACATTTGGGGGTCTATTCATAGAATGTTTGTATAGCAATTCCCTCAGTGAGAGTTCATGTCCATTCCTCCTGTGTGAATGGGGGAACCAATGTTATTAGGATCACATCTGAGCTGCTGGAATGTCTTCCATTGATGGAAAATACATTGAAAACTTCTTCTCCTGCCATCAATGGCCAACCCGGTCCCACACTTCATCCATGTCTTTGGGGGCCTCTGATCTCCTTATGGACTGTTTCTTCCATGATGAAGATCAGCCATGGAGTATATCTGAGGTGTATATCAGGGTGTGCTTCTTCCCCACATGAGAGCTGGGATGTCCAGCAACATTCATCTAGAAGACATTTCCCGCACTCAAGGCACTAATACACCTCCAGGGTTGTGTGGGACCCTGATGTACAGGAAGACAGGACTTCAGTGAGGAACATTTCCCTCACTCAGGACAGGAAAGTGGCTTCTCCCCCGTGTGAGATCTCTGATGTTTGGAAAGACTGGACTTCTGTGAAAAACATTTCCACTCAGGACAGGAATACGGCTTCTCCCCCCGTGTGAGATCTTTGATGTGTGTGAAGATTAGACTTCTGTGTAAAACATTTCCCACACTCAGGACAGGAAAATGGCTTCTCCCCTGTGTGAGATCTTTGATGTATGTAAAGATGGGACTTCTCTGAAAAACATTTCCCGCACTCAGGACAGGAATACAGGCTTCTCCCCCGCATGTGATATCTCTGATGTGTGTAAAGACTAAACTTCACTGCAAAAACATTTTCCCACACTCAGGACAGGAAAACGGCTTTCTCCCCTGTGTGAGATCTCTGATGTGTGTAAAGATTAGACTTCTGTGAAAAACATTTCCCGCACACTCAGGACAGGAATACGGCTTCTCCCCCGTGTGAGATCTTTGATGTCTGTAAAGATTAGACTTCTGTGAAAAACATTTCCTGCACTCAGGACAGGAAAATGGCTTCTCCCTCCTGTGAGAGATCTTTGATGTGTGTAAAGAAGGACTTCTCTGCAAAACATTTCCCACACTCAAGACAGGAATATGGCTTCTCCCCCGTGTGAGATATCTGATGTCTGTAAAGACTACACTTCTCTGAAAAAAAAATTTCCCGCAATCAGGACAGGAATACGGCTTTTCCCCCGTGTGACATCTTTGATGTGTGTAAAGATTAGACTTCCGTGTAAAACATTTCCCGCACTCAGGACAGGAAAATGGCTTCTCTCCTGTGTGAGATATCTGATGTCTGTAAAGACTGGACTTCACAGAAAAACATTTTCCACACTCAGGACAGGAATATGGCATCGCCCCCGTGTGAGATCTTTTATGCACATTAAGACCAGATTTAGATTGGAAACCCTTTCCCGCACTCAGTACAGGAGAACCTCTTCACTGTTGGAAGGCTGGCCCGGTCCCGCACAGTCTGAGGTTCCTCAGGATACGAGGAATCCGATGGTCCATCTACACTGGGTGGCCGCCGAATGGACATTGGAGGGAGCCGGGTTTTCTCCTGGACTATACTGTGTGATGTCCTCATCTTCTACTTTCCAGTCTGGAGACAAGCGGGGCTGAGCCCCACCAGAGGTCAGAGAGTGAGTGAGGATGGGGGGAGAACAACCAAGATGAAGACTGGACTGATCCTGAAGACCACCATCATTGGGGTATTGACTCCTCCTTCCTTATCACTTTCTTTTTAAGGGTGCAAAGTTGGAGGATGTTATCACATTATTATCACCATGTAGAAGTCTGTGCTCCAATCACATCATCCGATATAAAAATGTCCAGCTGGTAGGAAATGGGTGTAACATAAGAGAATCCATATTATGTGTATATATAGCAGTGGGGGGGAGAGCAGAAGTCTGGACTATGGAATGTACAACAGAGTATATAGTGCAGGGGTCAGGAGTATGTAATGTACAAGTTATATAGTATATAGTGCAGGGTCAGGAGTATGTAATGTACAACATAGAGTATATAGTGGTCAGGAGTATGTCAGGAGTATGTAGAGGTCAGGAGGATGTACAACAGAGTATATAGTGCAGGGGTCAGGAGTATGTAATGTACAACATAGAGTATATAGTGCAGGGTCAGTAGTATGTAATGTATAACATGGAGTATATATATTGCAAGGGTCAGGAGTATGTAATGTACAACATAGAGTATATAGTGCAGGGTCAGGAGTATGTAATGTACAACATAGAGTATATAGTGCAGGGGTCAGTAGTATGTAATGTATAACATGGAGTATATATTGCAAGGGTCATGATTGTCCACATGAAGGACAGACCTTTTTTGATACAGATTTTACATGTAAACCTTGACATAAATGTACAGATTTGAGTAGCTGAGATGTGACCTGTAGCAATATGTAATCCTAATTGTAGTTTCAGTCCTTGTCATTAAAGAAATAATCAGTCAGAGGTATTCAGAGACAGATGGTCACTAATTAGCATCTGAAGTGATCTAGCTTCCTCTGGATGTGACACCTAAGTGCCAATAAGATTTGTCTAGAATCAGACTTTCCCACCTTCCTGAAGTAAAAGAGGAAATGGCTGGAGACAAGTTGGCTTCATGACAGCAGGATACCCGAGCTTTAAAGTATATACATACAAAAGAATATGTTTCATCCCTCATACAAGCTAAAATATTAGTTGCAGAGAGATGAAAATACTTCCTTCTGATGGGGCACTCATTGGCATATAAAAAAACTGTATTAGTGGTCTATGTAGAATGCCAGGAAAATGCAGGAAATGTTTATGTGGTGCTGGAGTGTAATAGTGGAACAGTGATTGGTACTGTTGCGATCGGACTGATGAGCTCGTGTCAGAAATTCAATCCCAGACTTGGTGATTCAAGTCTGTCTTGGTCCATTTGACTTTGGGCAGGACACCCCAGAAGATCCTGAGAGCGGGTACAGGAACACCCCCAGGAGGAAATTGGCCCAGGACTCAAGTCCCGCCTACGTCCATATTCCCATAAATTGAGGACTGGAGATATGGGCAGCGTAATTCATATGGAGCTGGTTCGATTGACTGACGGATTGCTGACTTTCTGACTTGCTCCAGATGCAGGATAAATCTTGGTAAAAGTTTTATTTCGTTTTTTTATTCACTTTTATATTTTAGTGAATAGTCATTTGTGTGTCTTATTGTATTTTTTTGTAACTTTTTATATTTTTGTACATATTTTATGCACTGCCCACTTTTGGGATATTAAATCTTAAAATTAATAAGTGACTTCTGTGTATTTAAGCTTGAGCTCATATCTCCAGAGAGATCAGATTGTTTTGTATTTTAGTGTCTTTATACGCTCTGTCAAGCTCATTGCCAATCTGTATGCAATTGCACTGCGTTGTGTGGGCAGATTGCGTGCAGTTTGTAAAGGTAACAGATCTGCCAGACGGAGATCTGTCTGTGTGTGTGTGTGTGTGGAGTGTCCCAACAGACTGTTCTGTGGATAAACTGCTGGGTGGTGTCAAGCTACCATTTGTCATGCGTCTGGTGTGGGGGTGTGTTGACAGTGGAAGAGTGATTAACACCGGGGTTCTAGCTGTAGGATAGCTGGAGGGATCCTAGAAGGGTGTGTAATTACTAAGCTGCTCCTCAACTCTAATTAGTGCACCAGATTGTATATAAGATTTGTATCTGCCAGTGTGTGGTCAGCCATCTGGATTGGAGTCTCCCTCCGGTGGTGGCCAAGAGGTAGTGTGGGCTGTGAAAGTATATCACAGCTAGCTAGTCTTATATATTCAAAGTTAAGTCCCCATTATTCCCTCTTACCCAAAGTCACGGCCGCACGTGCATGACTCGGTTAGCTAGACGCTGTGGGCGTGTGTGTGTGTGGGTGAATCCGTGACATAAACAAAAAGTATTTTTTTGCTGTGAAATTAGTTATATGTCCAAAACATTTTTATTAGAGGCCCTAGAGAGTAAAAATAGTGGGTTTTGCAATTGTTTTCCGTATTTGCATAGCAGTTTTTTCTAGCACCTACAACACAAAATACCCTTTTTTGTAAAATATGAGAAAAAAGATACCTAGCATGTTACACTTTAAACTTGCGCACGCTCATGGAATCGCAGAAAATAGTCACCAAAGACGCCGCTTTAAAAGCCTTTCCAGGTTACCAGTTTAGAGATACAGAGGAGGTCTGGTGCTGGAATTATTTCTCTCCCTCTGATGATTGCGGCAATACCTCAAGTGTGGGACAATCTCTGTATACGTACCAATGCAGGACTGATGCCTGGGTTTGACTTTTCATGCAGGAGCTTTTGTTTTTTGTTTTTTTTGGGATAGGGGCGGTTTAATTTTTTTTTTTTACTCATTTCTTTAATTTATCAGTTTTATCGCTGTCACAAGGAATGTAAACATCCTTTGTGACAGTATTAGGCAGTGACAGGTACTCACTCTCACTCTGACGGACGCCGTCCTCCGCTCACTCTGATGGGGAATACATTAGACCTTGTTTTCTCCCATCTTTGCACTCCCTACAACCTCACAAACACCCCCTTTCCTCTCTCTGATCACAATCTCATCACCTTCACAGTCTCCTCGTCTTCAAACACCTATCCCTCCAAGCAGCCAACAATTACCCGCAGAAACCTTCACAACTTGAACCCGGCTCCTTTCCACTCTGCAACTGACCAACTCTATGACAGAATCTCTCCCCTGTCCTGCCCTGACCTGGCCACTGCTGTCTACAACAGTTCACTGTCATCCACATTAGACTCACTTGTTCCTCTAACAACATGAAGCATCAGGCCCCGACCATTACATCCGTGGCAGACTGACCACACCAGACATCTTAAGAGACATAGTTGTGCGCTGGAGCGATTGTGATGTAAAACCAAATCCCAGCAAGCATTCACCCGATATAAATCTGCTTTCTTCACATACAATTCCTCCCTCCATGCTGCCAAACAAGACGACTTTGTCACTCTCATCAATACCTTGTCACCTCTGCACAGACACCATCCCCACTTAGCATTACCTTATAACTTAAACCGTCCCTCAAAGCACTTTCCTCTTCTGACCTCGCTAACTACTGAAGAGTCACTAAGGTTTTCTATCAGAATCCCCAGTCTCACTACCTGCCCCCTGATCCTGTAATCCCTCACAACTACTTAATGGTCACCCTAATCTTCCATCCTATGCTCCCATCACTACAATCTTCAATCTTGTCAGGAAAGTCCAATAAAGCCTTCCCCCTCCCCTCTAAAAGTATGCACAGATCACTGAATACTTAACAAAGCCCTCCCTGGAGTTCCAGGGGACTTCCGACCCTGAACAACATGAGGTAAGACCCCATGCTCCTGCTAGCCAGATTTCCCTCTAAACTCCATCAGAATGCTATAGTTCTACAATATCACCCCTGATCTGCCCACCTGTCACGACAGGACAACCTTCTCCACCCTTTTACAGTCCTTGGCTTTCACTCTCTAAGCACTACAGAACTGCCATCTAAAAACTCAAATTGATCTACGTCAGAACAAAACAATGGCCAGATATCCGATCTACTAAGCTGTACAGAACAACCATGGCCACCAAATGTCAGGACTATACAGATACTCCCCCAACCAATTGTCCAGGACTCCGTAATTCAGCCAAACCAATAGCCCCCATAATATAAATATTAATACATAATAATAATAAATAGATAAAATAATAAAAAAATATCTATATATATAGATCTAAAAAATATAAATAATATAGAAAAAAAAAAAATTAATAATATAATAATATTAATAAATAAAATATAATTAAAAAAAAAATAATAAAGATAAACAATAGATATATATTATAATTAAAGAATCTAAAGAATAATCCCACGATACAATAGAACTCCGAATCTCCACCCCCATGAATAATTATATTATAAATTAATAAATTAAGTATAATACATAAACTATAGTAAAGATTTAAATTTTAGTACCGCGCCCACTATCCCGCTATAAGAATAGCAAAATAACATCCTCACTCCCCCTTCTCTCCCCCCATACCCCACGCACTACAGCAACCCCCCCGCCTATAAATAAAAAATAGCCGCCTCTGCCCCTTAATATATAATATAAGAATTAAATCCCCCAAATTAATAATAATCCGCCCCAATGCCCCCCCCCCCCTCCAACCCCCCCGCCTCACAATGAGTAAATATAAAATTATAAAAAAGGCCCCCTTGAAAATAAAAACTAATATCATCCCCTTCCACCCACCGCCACCCCCCGAATACGATAATACCACCCAAGCAATTGACAATAAATCTCTACATGCACAACCTCATTATAAAAAAATTAATATAACCATTTCAC